TTGAACAGGCGGTGGCACAAGCAGCCCCTCTCTTGTCCCCTCTTGTTCGCCGCTACCCTGCTACGCCGTTTGTACTCGACCGTCACAAATAAGCCACTCAGGCAGGCCAGAGAGGAGCCGCTTGCATCACTGGTGCATCTGCTGGATCACTGGTGCATCTGCGTGCCAGATCTGAACGCCTTTGTGTGTCTTGTGTGGTTTGGTGTGTTGTCAGTGACTCGCCGTTGAGTTGACGCTCGCCTCTCGTTGACGCTCGTCGAAGACTCACACGCATCAGTAATACAACAGACGACACGCACACTTTCGCCTTGCGCACATCTGGTCCGTCTTTGTCGCTGGGCAGTGTTGGCCAAGACACTCAACGCCGGCGACAAGGTCGATATCTCGGCCATCCCATCCCGGATAGCGGGACGTGTGACGGGTGGTGGATCGTGTGTGTGAAGAGGGCGACGCTGAGATAGCGTGTTGCTTGTAGCGCGTGCAGAACGTCGTTTCGTTTCGTGTTGCTCGCCCTCCCTTTCCTTGTCTCGCCTACTTCTCGCTGTCTACTTGTCTTGCATCTGAGCGTTGCGCGCATCGTCACATATACGTGCCGCATCGTTTGAAACTTCCCGCCTGTTGTGTGCATCTACCTTCTGTATCCGTGCACGTGTTCGCCTATTTTAAGACTCGCCTGTGCTGTCTCTGCGTGTTCCGTGCTCGCCTTGTGAGTGTTTCGCTCGTCAGTCAGTCAGCCAGTGCACTAGTTTCTCGACGCACGCTCTGACGGAGCAACTCACTATCTGTAGTAGAAGCGGACACACGCATCGCCCGTGTGTTCCACTCCCCTAACTGCGTCTATATTAGCGTTCATCTCTGGTGTGCCTGTGTTGGATTCGATGAGGGATGCGGACATACGACTGATATCCATGTAAACCGCTGTGGCTGACTGTCATCTGTTCATGGGTAGTCAGTCGCTGCGCAGCTAACTTACACGCCCCCCGCTCTCTGCACATCGACGGGTGACACTATCGGCCCATATCTGCATTCATCAGCACATCACACTCCATCTACCGACCCTATCTTCGCCACGCCAGCACGACTATCAGCGCCACCATTCGCTCGGACTGACAGGCATCTTCCATATATACACGTGCCGCTTCCTACTCTCCTCTGAGCCAGGCACGTATGCCCTTCGTCTAGAGCGGCCTGAGTTTCTTCCGCCTTTGACATGGTCGCGCGCGCGACTCCCTTTATTGCGCCGAGGCCTCTGCGTAGCTGAGCCGTTTTGCTGAGCATGCGAGGGGCGCAACTGAGCGGACCAGCCGGCAGATTGTTGGTCGTGGGTCGCGAGAAGAGCAGGTGCCGCCGATAGTCATCCGCCGATATGCAGCCGCAGTCGCCGAGCCTCGCATATTCTTGCTCCTCTGACGCCGATATGGACAGACGCCAGTTTGGCTGAACGCGACTTGTGACTGAAGCGCAACACACGCGCGTCGTTGCTGTACTTGTATCAGTGTCCCGCCGTACGCCGGTGGTCCTTTGATGGACCGCCTGCACGCAGATTCACGCACCGAGCAGCCAGACAAGGTCGTCAGCTTGGGTCCATCGTATTCGTTATGTCTCTGACCTCACCTGTGCACGTTGAGCGATCGACTTCGTCCACAAGCACCGACTCTGAAGCACTCACATCTGCTCGCCGCCCGCCTGGGTGCCCTTCTTTCTGATGTGGTGTTTCTCTCGACGATGGGGGAGGTGCGGTCGCCAAAGGACGACGCCAACTTCTCTGCACAGTTGGGAGAAGGGAATGTAGCGCATACCTGTATGATACATGGTCACATACCTACATCGCCAGAGTGGTTTTCGCCATTGCTGCTGCCCTTGGGC